TTCAGTACCAGGTTACCCCTTGAGAATTTCCTCAGGTGATATCGAAGTTAATATGAGACGCAACAGGAGACAAGTGTTTAGTCCGTTTGGCTCAAAAGCGGACCGATGAATTGCAATCTAACTCGAAAACTAATAAACATAAAATACTCAATAAAACGCTGATCATAATCAAAACATCATACCCACTCTGTGAGGTTTTTGCAGAATTTTTGTCCTAAAAATAAAAAAGTTCTTTAACAACCTATCATTAAAATGCTGACACAGTTCACTATTTATTACGAGGGAGGAGTGCAGAGAAAGGGACAGCCAGGTGTTCGAGAATGGACTGAGACGGCACAGCACAGGTTAATAAATAAAAAACTTTGTTTGTGAAGTGTGCACGTCATGTTACTACCTGCCTGCCGTCCCCATAGATAGCCCTTGAGATATGAGATCCGTGATACGATTTCGTATGCAATGGGACAGTTTTTTTCCTCGGGATAATTCTTTCCCAGTAGAAATTACGTTAGATTTTAATCTCGTATCAGGGAAGTGAATAAGAAATATCTCTCTGACATCAATAAAAAGAAAGGTTACAACAATTTACTATGTGATGTGATGATGCCGGTCGTACTAATTTCCAAAATGTTCAGACCCGTGAAGATCCGGATTAGAATTGGTCTTCAGTAACCCATGCTTGTCGTAAGAGGCGACTAACAGGATCGGGTGGTCAGGCTTGCTGACTTGGTTGACACATGTCATCGGTTCCCATTTGCTTAGACCGATGCTCTTGGGTCACATCGACCTGTGTGGCTTGCGATAATAATAAACATTTATATCTGGGCGAGATGCAGGCTTTTATCGTGACGAGCGAGTACACAAGCCGACTGTTGTGTGGTGTGAAGGTTCAAATCATTAGGATGTCGGACTAGCCTCAGCAGTGATAGCTAATAGAATAAAGACTGTAGTTCCATATATTATCGTTGAAGATCAAAAAGGTTTTGTTCCTGGAAAATATATAGGGGAAGTTACAAGGCAAATATATTACATTGTGGACCATACAGAATCATTCCAAATTCCAGGTTTATTACTACTCATTGACTTTGAAAAAGCTTTCGATTCATTTGACAGAAAATTTATGCAAAATGTGTTACAAAAATTCAACTTTGGACCAGGTTTGCAAAATTGGGTACATATTTAATGCGTCAAAAGATATTGAGTCCAGCGTATTAGTAATTGGGTTTGCAAGCATTATTTTGAAAAAGAGCAAAGGGCTGTCGTCAGGGAGATCAAATATCACCTTTCTTATCTTTCTTTTATGTGCTGAAGTGTTGGCTCTATCAATAAGAAAAAGTCAACAACAAAACAATCAAGGGAATAGAGATAGGTAATATTCAAAGTCCTCTAGCCCATTTTGCTGACGATGCTAAAGTAACCTTGGATGGATCAGAATCAAGTCTTTGTGCTGTTTTAGATACATTAGCTTTTTTGCAAGATTTTCGAAGTTAAACTATGATTCTTTAATAAACCTTTGGTCTTTGAGATATTTGTTACCAATGGGTAGAAATGTTATTTTGAAATCGTTGCTGATGCCAAAACTAAATCTATTTCCATCAATTCCTTGCCCTCCTGAAGAAAATAAAAACGTTTCAGAAAAAAATGTTTGAACTTTGTGTGGCAAGGAAAAATTGATAAGGTAAAGCGAGAAATCATGCATCTCAAACCCAAAGATGGAGGTATTAGTGTACCTGTAATAAAAACGCTATAAAGTGATCTGGATCAAGTGACTTATTATTGAAAATTCAAAATGTACCTCAATCGCAAATGAAAGCTTAGCTGACTCAAATATATTATGTTTTGCAGATGCAGAAGGGGTATGCAATAATATCATTCCCTATGTTTAAAATAAATTCATCTCGTGAAGGTTCGGGTTAGAATTGATCTTCAGCAACCATGCTTGTCGTAAGTAGCGACTAACGGGATCGGGTGGTCAGGCTCGCTGACTTGGTTGACACGTCATCGCTTCCCAATTGCTTAGACCGATGCTCATCCTGTTGATCACCGGATTGTCTGATCCAGACCCGATTATTTACACACGGCCGCCATATAGCTGGAATATTGCTGAGTGCGGCGTAAAACTAAACTCACTCACTCACTCACTCAAATAAATTCTGCAGAGATGTATTCGTGGCATGGTGTCATTATTTAAAGAGGGGTTACACAAGTGTGAAAGAAATTTCAGATATTTCTGCCAATCTTTATGATATGATAATAAAATCGATAGATGGAAAGTTCATTTATCATGAAAATATGGCAAAAAGAGGAATAGATTTTGTTTATAATAGTGTAAATCCGAATGGATTTTTATAACAAAAAATGACATTTAAAAAATATGGAATTGTCAAAATAAATGTCTTCACCTTGAAGGCATAAAAAGTGCAGTTTTAGCATATTGTAGATCTCAAAATGAAACTTGCTTAGGTAAGACCTGCTATCAGGTACAATGTCCATTAGTACAGATCGTTTGATTCCAGTTGGGGCCGATGAATTGCTCACTAACACCTAATCTAATAAATGCAACAAAACCAAATTTTGCACAGTCACATGAAATCGAACAGACCAACTCTGATGATTTGTCTCATATTTAAGGACACCCGAATGAAAATAGTTGTTTAACAAACGATCATTATTTTGTTGTCACTTTTCGCTGTTTCTCATGAGGGGGTACCATTTGCTGGTCGAACAGCCAGGTGTGCGAGTTGCGCGTGTGAAATTAAAATCTCTCAACACACGCTTGTTCAACAACTTTGAACATAATGACAAAACACAGCAAAGATGACAAGAAAAAGACTTCTCCATTTGAACAAAATATATCTGAGATTGGAAGCTGAAATGCTGATTAAGTACTGGACTGTTAAAGTGTAATACAATATTAGACGCTGTGTGATTACATCCATCATCAGGTCTTCCTTGCACCGCATCGACCTGTGTGTTTTTCTTATATAATTAACATTTATATCTGGGTGAGATGCAGGCTTTTATAGTGACGAGCGAGCACGCGAGCTGGCTGTTGTGTGGTGGGAAGGCTCTAAGCATTAAGATGTCGGATTTACTCGTATGGGTAATCGACATGAAGGTTTCGTCAAGGTAGAATTCACGAAACTGAATGCTTCAGTGCAAAAGCAATATCGTTCTCTTTCATTAAACGTACCTATTGTAACACTATCGAGTAGGTTCATTGTAAATCTTGAAGTACATCGTGTGTAGTAATATTTACCTTGAAGGAATAACCAACTAATTGAATGATTAACTAATGGGACGCCAGTTCAAAAGCTGAGTTTATCTCCTACCAAAGCCAGTGTGCAATAACTAATTTCCGTAATTTCGGGTTGGTTAGTGTGCAGTTATAGTTGCATTATTTGGTACCAAGAGTGCCCCCTTTTTGAGCGCCGTTCTTCTACAGGGCCCGTAAGTATGTCTCGGCACTTCGCGAGACCTTAGTACTTCCGGTGACAAACAACGTTTAATATCTTTTCGAATGGTCTCATGGTTGTCTGTTGACAGTAAGGAACCGATAATTTTTGTAGGAATAACAAATTTCTGATCTAACCATCCCTCGATTAGCCAACTATTACGACAGTCAACAGCTGTGACAGCCAAGCATGGTTGTACACTTGGTCCGGTCTAGTAATATCATATTTGGCGGTCGCGCAATTTGGAACCAGAACTGGTACTTGAACATACGAATGTCACCGACGAAGAAAGCTGGGCCCCGTCTCCTATATCGCAAGTTGGCGCGCGCAAAAGGAGCCAGGAATCCGGAAGTAGCGCCTCGCGAGACTAACAGGTCCTTTTGACTCAGTACATGTTAAGCTATCTTTACCAACGATCTGTATCAAGAAAAACACAACGAGTTACGTCCCTTGTATATTCCCAAACCCTGTCGTGCAGGTCGACAGGTTCTCGGATCCTCCACTTGGTGTCGCTGCTTTCACCCAGCCGTCAAAGGCCCAGGGTGTCCCAGTCTGTCGAAGGATCGAGCAGGAACCAGTTGGCAGTGTTGGATTCGCAGCCCTAATTCACAGAGTTTCGGTTCTTGGTCTGTCAGCACCCTACCCGTACCCGCGCAAAGCATCTAAGTCCTGCACCACTCCGACGTCAGTCTGACCCGCCACCATACAACTGAAATACTGTACAAAGCGACGACGTTGTGCCAAACTCACTGACCAACTCTGATCACTTGTCGTGGTGGTCGACAGATACACAAAGACTTACGACCCCCTGTTGATTCCCCAAACCTGTCGTGGTGGTCGGCAGATACACAAAGAGTTACGACCCTTGTCGATTCCCCAAACCTGTCGTCGTGGTCGACAGATACACAAAGAGTTTCATCCCTTGTTTATTCGGTTGGTGTCGCTGCTTTCACCCAGCCGTCAAAGCCCCATTGTGTCGAAGGACCGAGCAGGAACCAGTCTGTAGTGGTGGATTCGTAACCCTAATTTACACAGGTTTGGTCCTTGGTCTGTCAGCACCAAAACCGTGCTTTCGCTTAGCATCTACGACTCGACTCACTTTTGACATTTCTCTGACAACAACCTGACCCGCCATCATATAACTGAAATACTGTACAAAACGACTGTGTGCCAAACGCGCCGACATAGAGCCGCGTAAAGTACGTTGATTGACGTAGGGTACGTCGATCGGCATGTTTATACAATGTCCGTGTTGCAAGAGACTCGCGGTGAACATGGTGTACATGTATTGTGTTTTATGACAAATGTAGATCATTGGATTCAATTTCAAACCAATTAGGGGCGGTGGGGTAGCCTAGTGGTTAAAGCGTTCGCTCGTCACGCCGAGGCCCCGGGTTCGTTTCCCCACAAGGGTACAATGTGTGAAGCCCATTTCTGGTGTCCCCACCGTGATATTGCTGATATTGCTAAAAGCGGCGTGAAACACAACTCACTCACTCACTCGAACCTATTAAGCCAGTGCACAATGAAGGACTAGCAAAGCACTTATAAGACATGTTTAAAAAATTTATTAGTGAAAATACAATTATTCATTTTAATGTGATGGCGCACGCTGATTTTATATATTTAGCATGTACAAGGCGGGATATCCGAATATGTAAATGTGAATATATACTTGAATATGCAAGACTAAACAAACAAAAATATGGAACCAATATAAATATTGTCACAAGCTGAGTATTATGTTCAGCCTACATAAAAGTAATATGTCAAAAATATAGAGAGAAAACCCGAAACGCAAAGTGATAACAATCGAAAATTGTTAGAATGTTACAAATACACGTCATGAATATAGCGTAATTCGGAGGTCATATCACCCTTGTTACGAAACCCAAAACGCAACTAAGAAACATGAATTGAACACAAGTCATATGAAAGTGCAGGGTTTTCGTTGAAAGGTCTTGCCTAACCCGTGAAGATCAGAATTTGACTTGATCTTCAGCAACCCATGTCTTTGCCGGTTATTTGGCTATTTGTGTCTTACTGACCTGTCTTGTTTGGTTGGTATAGGGCAAGATAAGATCGGGGACACACGCTTGTCGTAAGAGGTGACTAACGGTATCGTGTGGTCAGGCTCGCTGACTTGGTTGATGCATGTCATCGGTTCCAAATTGTGTAGATCGATGGTCATGATGTCAATCACTGTTTTGTCTGGTCCTGGCACGAATATTAACAGACGCAGTTATATAGTTTGGAAGATTTCTCACTGCGGCGTGAAAACACAAACTAACAAACAAACAAACCTGTCCTGCTTATCTGGACGAATACACAACAGCCACAACTTGAGTTCTAAATACATATATATATATATATATGATATAATTATATTCAAATGCTTACAAATGTAAATTAAAAAAAACCAGAAGCGTCTGAATTCTGTATGAATATACAAATGGTTAAACTGAGTACATGTTCAGGTCAATAACATATTCACGTTTTAAAAACAGTATGTGAGTATTTAACATGAATATCGTCAGGTGTATGCAATTTTTCTTTCACTTTTAAGCCGCTGTACTTCACATATGGGCAATGGAAAATATACATATTTCAGCTTTTAATTTGTGTAAAGAATCATATGGCTGATTATGCTGAATATATTTCAGCGTTGTCATGACTACGAACTGTGCGTATTTGAAAATATCCTGAAAAGCTCCTAACAGATTAGTGTGTATGACGAGACTATTATAACCTCTGCAAACATAGTAACAACCTAATAATCTGGAATAGAATTATTGGCTGGTAGTATCACTGTAAATTCTCAAATTAGCATTTCCTTATTCACAAAAGCCGACAGATACAAAATATAATGCATTAATGCATCTATTTATGTAAAATCAATAGATTGGCAAAATAGCTGACTCAGAATCTATTTAACTGCAAGGAGTAAAGACATGGAGTGATGGAAGTATACCTTTAAGAAGGTTTGTCTTTATAAGACTAATGCACTTGATCATCGTGAGTAATATGACGTAAGAAGAAAGCGTAAAACTAAAAGGGCAAATAAACGGTCTAAAACCTCTCGTTAAACGAAAGGCGAACATACTTATTGTTATGTAATGAGCCACGGCATGGTCAACGTTGATGGAGTCGTGCAGTTTGGAGTGTGCTGGGTGACGTCCAATTGAAGGTGTTTTAGATACCGAGGGTGTCCAAGTTGTGGGTTTTCGGGTGGTCACCAGAGTCGGGTTATTCAGGGTTTCGCGTGTTGTCACGTTGTGCTTGTTCATGGTTTATGGGCGGTGGGTGTTCTTGTTACGTCGGACGACGAGGTTGTTTTGATTGCTTTGGGCGTTCGGTTTCATTGGTGACGTTAGGGTGTATGGTGTCCCGGTGACGTTAGGGTGTTCGGTGTCCCGGTGACGTTAGGGTGTTAGGTGTCCTGGTGATGTTAGGGTGTTCGGTGTCCTGGTGATGTTAGGGTGTTTGGTGTCTCGATGACGTTAGGGTGTTGGTGTCCTTGTGACGTTAGGCTGTATGGTGTCCTGGTGATGTTAGGGTGTTTGGTGTCCTGGTGACGTTAGGGTGTTTGGTGTCCTGGTGATGTTTGGGTGTTTGGTGTCCCGATGACGTTAGGGTGTTTGGTGTCCTGGTGACGTTAGGGTGTATGGTGTCCTGGTGACGTTAGGGTGTTTGGTGTCCTGGTGACGTTATGGTGTTTGGTGTCCCGATGACGTTAGGGTGTTTGGTGTCCTGGTGACGTTAGGGTGTTCGGTGTCCTGGTGATGTTAGGGTGTTTGGTGTCTCGATGACGTTAGGGTGTTGGTGTCCTGGTGACGTTAGGCTGTATGGTGTCCTGGTGATGTTAGGGTGTTTGGTGTCCTGGTGACGTTAGGGTGTTTGGTGTCCTGGTGATGTTTGGGTGTTTGGTGTCCCGATGACGTTAGGGTGTTTGGTGTCCCGATGACGTTAGGGTGTTTGGTGTCCTGGTGACGTTAGGGTGTTTGGTGTCCTGGTGACGTTATGGTGTTCGATGTTCCGGTGGCGTTAGGGTGTTCGGTGTCCTGGTGACGTTAGGGTGTTCGGTGTCCTGGTGACGTTAGGGTGTTCGGTGTCCCGGTGACGTTAGGGGTTCAGTTAGGTCCTCAAGCACCGAAATCGTTGCTGCATAACCTGGGTATGGCTACCACAGTGGAGACTCCGACTTCCTGTCCTATAAATGATGGTTAAAACGGCGTCCCTGAAAAGAGAACTGTTTCATTATTCCTGCATTTAAGTAAAAGTTTCTATGAAAGTTGATCGCGAGTTGTATAACTGGATGACTTGAAATTGGCTATGACCAGTTTTCTACTCAATAAAATCTTAATATCCTAAATGCATGGATAGAAGCTCGTGATATCAACCACTGGGTTGTCTGGTTCAGAATCGACCATTTACAGTCCACTGTCATATAGCTAAAATACTGCTAATGCCGCTTTAAAGATCAAACAGACAAACCAACAACAGCCTTGCCGCTCCCCTAGACTAACGCTTAGTCACTGAATATACATAACTTTGATGTTAATACATAAACCCATTTAAATTGAAAAGGAGCCTCAGGGATCCCGACTTGCGTCATTTAGAGCTTTAGCATTGCAGAGAGGGCTAGGCAGTAGGGAAAATGTGGTTCAGGGACCGTGAGGCAGACTACCACTCCCCCAACATAGTCCTACCTCAATGCCATCCCGTCCCTGGCGAGACCAGTTCTCACTCCGGCGGTCTGAGTGCTCCCATTGTCCACGTCTGTCCCTGGTTTCCCTCAATCTGCCCTTGGCACCTTGACCTTCAGTGCGTTTTATTTCCTGTCCACGTCGCTGCAAATCTCGGGCAAATGCGCTGTCGTTGACTCTCCCCAGACTCTCGCTTCTGTAGAGTTGTCCTCCATCCCTCGATTCTTTGTCCTGGCTCAGTCGTCGTCTGTCGTGTTCCATGCCGTAGTCTGGCTCAGGGTCAACGATGAAATTGTTTGGGTGCCGCATTTCCCCGAACGTCTTAGGACGAGGTTTGGGAGAAGGAACAGGCGTTTGTTGTACACGGTCGGCTTCTCGGAAGCTCCGTCTGTCATTTCTAAAGCTCTCGTGTCTCCCGTGGTTTCGGCCCGACATTCGCTCCTCCCGATGGAGCCGTTCCAGATTTCTGTCCTTCGGAATATAGCCATTTTGCCCCCGGAATGCATTTTGCTCCTGTCGATGAATTGAGGGAGAGTCGTCGCGTCTCAGATGGTCACGTGAAGGATAGCCGTCTTGCTCCTGACGATGAAATGAAGGAGAGTCGTCGCGCCTCAGATGGTCACGTGAAGGATAGTCGTCTTGCTCCTGACGATGAAATGAAGGAGAGTCGTCGCGCCTCAGATGGTCACGTGAAGGATAGACGTCTTGCTCCTGACGATGAAACGAAGGAGAGTCGTCGCGCCTCAGATGGTCACGTGAAGGATAGTCGTCTTGTTCCTGACGATGAAACGAAGGAGAGTCGTCGCGCCTCAGATGGTCACGTGAAGGATAGACGTCTTGCTCCTGACGATGAAACGAAGGAGAGTCGTCGCGCCTCAGATGGTCACGTGAAGGATAGCCGTCTTGCTCCTGACGATTAATTGAGGGATTTTGGATTTGCATTTGGGGAGTATTTTCGGTGACAGAAATGATTTCACGGTGGTGCTCCTTGACATTAGCATAAAACCCCGAGACAGCACTTGACAAGCGGTTAGAGTCAAAGGACTTTTCAGCACCGGTCCTGTCGTGGTCTTCTCGCATTCTGTCGTGTCTCCGGACGTCGTTGAGGATGCCGGCCTGAACAGCAGCTGGAACGTGCCCTGCGTCACGTCTTGCATCTTCATCTCTGTTGTAGCGTCCATCGTGGTCATGGTGACTGGCGTAACTGGCGTCGGCTCGAGTCTTGATGGGGTGTGCATAAATCACATTTGTTGATCCCTCGTCCATGAAGGAAGCGAACTCGGCGCTCGCTCTAGTTATCGGCCTCGAAATATTAGAGGGTTGATACACGGAGAACTGGAAAACAAAACAAAATGGAAAATATTTTTAGACCAAAATTAAAGATATTTTTCCAAAAATGTAAAAGGCTATCAGTTTTATGAAATATTTCATGAAATGATGATATTACACTGGTTAAATAAACTAGGTGACTTTATCAAACTTACAGCTTGTTGGTGTAACGGGAACATGAGTGCTAAGGTCATTGGCTGTCTGCTATGATTCGCAACGATAATGACTTTATAGCATGTTGATACATCGAAAATTCCATGTGGAAATTTGCATCACAGCATCCACTTGTCGTCGGCACGAATACTCGAGATTTTCCCATAAATAGTAGTCCCTGGTCTCATGCTAATAACCTTCCCAGTTTAAACCTACACGCAGCTATGTGTAGTAAATAGTCTTCATATATTTGTGTTGACCCACTGTACAACCAAACCACAGTGACATCATGTTGAGACATAAGCCTGTTTAAATGCAAACTTTGATGCCTGAATATTTTTAAAAGTATCAGGCCTAATGCTTGGTAACAAACTGATAACCTGTGTTTTGGACAAAACCCGAAATCAGTTTATGTATTTTTGTGGCATGGTTCAGTATGGCATCATGGTTTCCACACGGTCCGGCTATTGAGACAGCTGCGATACATAGCGTTATAAGGTTACAAATGCATGGGGCGGTGGGGTAGCTTAGTGGTCAAAGCGTTGGCTCATCACGGGTTCGAATTCCCACATGGGTACAATGTGTGAAGCCCATTTCTGTTGTCCCTCGCCGTGATGTTGCTGGAATATTGCTAAAAGCGGCGTAAAACCAAACTCAGTCAATACAAATGCATCTTTTTTTCACAAGAAATGTATAACATACCCATTCTTGAGAATTGCGGTTATTTCGTGATAGAACTTATACTATCACTGCTTAGGAATAAATCAAGGGATATATAACATAATCTAAATGACTCTTACAGTATTAGTTAACGGTGAATCACCGATGAGTAGTTTACATTAACTCTCACAACACGAGTGAGTGAGTTTAGTTTTACGCTGCACTCAGCTTTACTGCGGCGGTCTGTAAATAATGGAGTCTGGACCAGACTATCCAGGGATGAACATCATGAACATCGATCTACGCAATTAGGATACGATGACATGTGTCAACCAAGTCAGCGAGCCTGACCACCCGATCCCCTTAGTAGCCTCTTACGACAAGCATGGGTTACTGAGGATCAATTCTAACCCGGACCTTCACGGGTCTCACATCACGAGGTACGCCATGAGACCATGGAATGATGTAACTTTAAACGAATCAGAAATGTTGTATCTGGACATGTGACAAGGGCGGAGCAGGCTCGAACACCTTAAAAAGATACCAACTGCACTAGCAAGTGGTGCGGGTTACAAAGTCAGAAGGACGTTCGTATCGCGATCGTGGAGTTCCATGTCTGGTAAAGAGCTTGTCCTGTCCTGTCCTGTCCTGTCCAGTCCGAGTCACCTTGTCATGAAGAAAGGGATCGAGTAAACCTATGTGAGTACAGAGCCTGGTGTTGGGGTATTCACTGTATGCACGGGAACCAGTATATGAATGCAATGCTGCTAGTTAGGAGTCACGGTCGTCCGACCCCTCACTCCTTGACTTAGCATCCCCTGACGGACCAAGCAAACATGTGTTGAGCCAACACTACCCCTGACAATGTGGAACGGCCATATTATTAGGTAACTGTTGTAGGGTGGAGTCTTCAACAAAATGTTTCAGACGATCCCCTTTGCTGTTTTTCTGATGGTCGTTTCTATCCTTTCTTTCACTCGCGTTGACGTTTGACGGCGGTAGGTTTCCTTTTCGCGGCTGGGATATGTTATCTGCAATTTTCTCTCAAGCTATTTGGAATTGTAATGTCTCGAACAAACGCTTCAGATACATCTACGTCATTTGACAATCTGTTCTCATTTCGTCTCATCAGTTCTACAAGTTTTACTAATTCAGCCCGACTTGGCATAACACAACAACCGTCTCACCCTCCATCTGCTCCCCTGGACCCCTCCCCATCTCCTTCTCATGAGGTTTAAGAATTTAAATTTGCCATGAGCTGGCAATAGTTCCAGTTCTGCCCCTGACTTTAATATGGGGGATTCCACTTTAATGCCAGAGCATTTCACAGGAAAAGATAGTTCTCATTCTGCGGAATGGTTTGATCGTTTCATTCACTTTACTAACTTCAAAATGGACTGTCGCACATAAAATTCAAGTTTTTCCACTCTTTGTAAAGGATTCAGCGTGTATGTGGTGTAAAGACATTCCTTCATCTCGACGAAGTGGACAAATTGTTTAAGGTCAAATACGTCAACCCCACTGATCGGTGGTCTTAGTTAGAAACGCTTGTGGCTCGCAAATTATCCCCTAAGGAAACTATACATGTTTATTTGGCGGCATTGACCGAGACGGCTAGTCTGTTAGGTAAGACTGAAATGGGCCTAATGGATGGTTTGTTATGGGACTGGATGACAGCACACGCAAAGCAACAAACAGGAATTCCGTTGTGTACTGCCAACGTGCTTCAAAACATCTGTCACCCATGCGAACAAAACTTATCACAATATGTCGACTTACAGGCTCCTCGTCCACGCTGGTGTTTTTACGTTTAGTTGGGAGTTGGTCCATCTGAATGTTCTCATACGCCTGGTTCTGTAACAGAAACAGAAAATACAACAAAATGTATATAGCCAAAATCAAGTTACCAAACCAGACACCCAATCCATTTCATCGCCCTGTGCAAACACTGCTGGCTCAAGGCCACAGTTACCTCCCTTGAGTTTGACCAGACATTATTCTTTGTTGCCAAATATTTATAATCCACAATCTGCACATGGTACTGACTCCAGCCCCCAACGGTTTCACCCCAAGGTTAAGGCTGTTTTGTGTGTTCCGGCTGGACACCACCGGCTATCATAGTTTACAGTGGTTACTGCAAAATCGGCCGATAGTTTGCGGCTAAAGTGACAAGTTTTGTCAGCATGCGATAGTAGTGATTTCGACCGGTATTGATGATGGTGGACTGGTATGTCTCTATAGATGGCAAAGAAGAAATCTTATTGTGGTCTGAGACAAGGGTACAAGGGACCTACTCAGGTCAGGAAATTCAACGGAGATTTCAGTCTCAACCTGATTGGGTTTTGGCTACACCAGATACATCGGAATGAGTTCTATCGTTGACGGAAATAGAAATAATATTAAGTTCTGTATTTTACATAATATTCCCTCGGGTCGTCCAGTTTGGAGGTCCAATGTTGTTCGGTGCCCTCGTCATAAGCACGCAGTGGACCGTCACTTTGAAAACAAAAACATTGAGAAAAATAAGTATATGTCAGCCATATTTAGTGATCTGAGGTAATATGGAGCATCAAACGCTTCTCGAGCAACAGCGCTTGAAACGGGTCTTACCTCGATTAACAAAGCAAGGGTCCAGGGGACCCTAATATTTAATTTTAAAGTTCTTTAAAGACATGAGGGTCCTGCATGGTAAGGGGATGATGTAGCGTGCTGTGCAGTTGGAGTTGATACTTACTTTAATTACATGACCCTCTAAATTCTTGTCAGGGGTTTAATACAACGAGTGTTATTGTCAGCCCTTGAGCATGCGCTATATTTTTCTATTTCTGTTCTATGTATGGGCGTACTGGATACATTTGTGTGTACAATTAGGTGATATTACTACACGTGCACGCTTTTCTTTCAGTTCTTGCTGGTGATAATGATTTCGCGATTTTATGTGCGCTTTCCAACATTTTTTATGGAATGTCGGTACGTTGCACGCTGACTATTGGCGCTTGGAGTCACCTGACAGACAACGCTTATCCGGGTTGTAACCATGTGATCAAAACTTACTGACCTTAATATATGTGATATTCCTCAGCCTACAATGCCTTGTTTTCACTTTAAAAATACAATGTAATAAGAAACTATTTTTGTTTATCAATAACGGCGATATTTCGTTATTATTGTAAGGGTCAGGATTTATTAAATGAAATTTCTCAAGGTCGTTACCATTCATTCTAATGTGTAAATGAGGTGAGGTGAGGTGAAATTGGGTTTTACGTCGTGCTTGAGAATATTTCGCTCATAAGACGACGTGCATGCGTGTGTATGTGTATGTGCGGCTGCTTGTACTAGCAACTTCTAAAACGCCACTCAAAGAACTTACCAAATTGTCTTTTTTTCACAAACAAATTAAGAAGCTAACATAAGAACCATTAACATGTGTTGTGATGCTGATCATTACGATTCAGTACTATACCCTTTTTCTTGAGCTTTCCTTTTCCTGGCGCATGTGCAGATGAGAGCTATGACCAGTATGAGAACGAGACCACCTCCCGCACCTCCGGCTATGGCGGCGATATATTCAGACTTCAGTAGCAGCTGCTCCCCTGTGATCTCACACTTGTCCCCACCGTATACGTACTTTGGGTGCTTTTTGCATCTGAAATGAAGGTAACGATACTTCTTGATTTCCGGGGCGGTGGGGTAGCTTAGTGATAAAGCGTTCGCTTCCCCACATGGGTACAATGTGTGAAGCACATGTCTAGAGTCCCCTGCCGTGATATTGCTGCAATATTGCTAAATGCGGCTTAAAATTAAACTCACTCACTTATTTTCCGTGGAAATTTATCTGGAGAATATATTTACAGATGTTCAAATTTTGTGGTAACCCAATCGCATATCTTTCTCTCTTGTATCTGATTGGTATTGTCCCTCCGTTCGATATTTCATTTTTACCCTGGACCAACTCATAACTGTATCTTCGTTTTGAACTGTGTTCGAACGTCCCTGCTAAATATAGCTGTCCAATGACATTACACTTATGAGAGAGACAAATTTGGTGTTGAGGTTGCGATGATAAAGTCGCTTCCAGGACGAAGACTCGTGACGATCCGGGTCAGAATTGGCCTTCAGCAACCCATGCTTCTTTGTAAGAGGCGACCAACGAGATCTTGTGGTCAGGCTCACTGACTTGGTTGACACATGTCATCGTATCCCAATTGCGTTGATTGATGCTGATAATGTTGATCACTGGATTGTCTGGTCCAGACACGATTATTTACCACGATTATTTACAGACCGCCGCCTTATACCTGGAATATTACTGAGTGCGGCGTTAAACAAAACAAACAAGACCAATCTACGATCATTAAAATTCATTGTAAAACCTTATAATTAAAACGTATAGGTTATTATCGGTATAATCGAGCATCGGATATATTTGTTAAGGAACGCCCTGCCACAGGTTAACAATCCACACTCTCTCGTTGTTTCTAGTATCAGGTCAAGATGGCGAGGTGTGTGGATTCAAGGGTTGAAACGGTACGCTCTTACCACGGTGCGGCACGTATTGCGGTACAAAGCCTTCGATTCGGTCCGTTTCGGTTCGGTATATGAGACAATTTATGATCATAAAGCAGAAAATTGACAAAAAGAGCTAAACCTTACAGAAATGCATACATTTTGACAAAATGATTCGATTTCGAGACATTTTAAAAAAAGGTTTAAAAAGATTAATAAAAAGACGGCACGAAAACCGAAAATACCGAATTTTTGGATTGCATTACGGTATACCGTTTCACCCCAAGTTGATTCAGGGGTAGATAAGCCATTATTGTCCCCATTGCCTGAAAAATCCCCAGGCCTCTAAAGACAGATCCGTATAAGTCAGTACAGCTAGGCACGGTGTTAACAACATTAACCCCCTTACTGCACTCCGAACACTGACCCGAGGATCAAGTGATTTGGCCAATAGGTTATTTAGAGAACCCTTTCCCTACATCAGACAAAGACCGCCTCCGTGGTGTAGTGGTTAGAGCGTCCGCCCGGAGAGTGGAAGGTCGCGGGTTCGATCCCCGACCGCGTCATACCAAAAGACCAAAAATATGGTACTTGTTGGTCCCTGCCTGGCGCTCGGCATTAATGGGCACAACAAGGACTGGTCGGCTCGGAGTCAGTATAATGTGTCTGAGTGGGGTATTCATGCTTCACTGCGGCATGGTATCTCAGTGGGCTAGCACTATAAAACCAGCTTCAGTCTGGGCTAGTACAATCAGCCGCACATACACACGCATGCACGTCGTCATATGAGCGAAATATTCTCAAGTACGACGTTAAACCCAATTTCACCTCACCTCACCTTACATCAGACAAACTGCAATGGAGCCAGGGTGGTCTATCAACGCTGCACTATGGGAAGGGAAGTTTAGTGAGGTTAGTATTATCAATGTTCCAGCGGAGGACACTAGAACTGGGCTTCATACACGGTACCTATGTCGGGAATCGAAACCGGGTCTTCGGCTTGACGAGCGAACGCTTTAACCACTAGGTTACCCCACATATAACAATGGATAGATATTCAAGACCCTTGTCATGTAAAAATGATATAACTATCATTTCGGCGAAAAAGATGAAACACGACATAACCCGCTCTGTCAAATCTTCTGTAATAATTACATCTTAACAGCTCACCTGCATATAGGTTGGCCATCTGCCTTGAGTTGACACACCCCGTGATCGCCACAGTCCATGCCATTACAATTACTGGTGCATGTGACCTTGTTGTTGAGGTCAGAACAATTGTAGCCGATATTACAGATACCCTCCGCTTTGCAGCGTGATGACATTGACTTGTTCGCTGAAATCCAAGTATTGAGTGAGTGAGTTTTAAACCGCTTTTAGAAATATTCAAGCAATCCAGGCACACCAGAAATGGACTGCACATGTCCACAGATACCCTCCGCATTGCAGCTAGATAACATTAACGTCTCCGCTGAAATCAAATTAAAGTATAGAATGAAATTAGTATTACGCCGCTTGAAACCAGAAATGGGCTTCCCACATTGTATCCATGTGAGGAATTGAACCCAGGCCTTCGGCGTGACGAACGAACGCTTTAACCACTAGGCTACACCATCGCCAAACAAGTATTTGAGAATCGTTGAAAGACAAATATTTAAGATATTGGTCTGAGGGTGTCGAAGTTCCGTTTGTCGTGGGTTCGAGTTTCCGATGATGATGTTCATCGTGATTTAATTCAGTTCGAAATCGAACACCAGATATTTGCCATTATTCGCGCCTGTAAATAATATTTTGTCTTGTCTTGAGACTACATGTGTTTCAATTGAGAGCGGTCTAAACACACTGCCGCACCTATATATAGCTGCCACTATACCTTTTTGCTTCATCAATTTGTGACCCGTGAAGATCCGGGGTAGAATTGGACTTTAGCCGACCATGCTTGTCGATTGGTTGACACATGTCATTGTATCCCAATTGCGTAGGTCGATGCTCATGGTGTTGATCACTGGATTGGCTGGTCTAGACTCGATGCTCACAGACCGCCGCCTTACAGCTGGAATATTGTTGAGTGCGGCGTTAAACAACAAACAAACATAAACACTCATCATCTGTACTTACAAGCAGCAAGTTCCATGATTAATGTCCCATCGAGATATTTGCTATTTACTTGATAGCCGTTCACGTTAGCACGCTGTAACGTATTTTTCACGGAACCACTGATGTTCCCGACAACTTCTGCAGCATTGGCTGTGGCTGCGATCACAGCTGTGTAGTTACAGATGATGGATCCATTCCTGTTAAAATACCAACTATTTAATAGCCTGACGATTTCACTTGAAACGCTCTCCGTCACTGTAAACTGTGATTTTTCCTCCTCGCATATTAAAATTATAAGATGAGGGGAAAAGGTTGTACTGACTGACGAAAATATGGATTGGATGACCTTGTGATCTTGCTCATTCTCTCGTCTTACACTGTTTCACCTCACCAGACTCAATTTTCCATCATGTCATAGCATAATTATTTTAAGTTACATTCCATTACATTACATCATATGTACCAGAAATAGGATAACATATCATACCTCATATCGTATCTATTAGAAGGTGTATTAAACCCAGAAAATCCGGGTTAGAATTGATCTTGAGCAAACCATGCTTCTTGTAAGAAGCGACTAACGGGATCGGGTGGTCAGGCTCGCTGGCTTGGTTGGCACATGTGATCGGTTCCCAGTTGCTTTGATCGAAACTCATGCACAATTATTTGCAGACCGCTGTCATATAGCTGGTTGTCAGGCCGAAGACCCGTGTTCGATTCCCACATGTGTACAATGTGTGAAGCCCATTTCTGGTGTCCCCCGCTGTGATATTGCTGGAATATTGCTAAAAGCGGCGTAAAACTAAACTCACTCACTCACTCATATAGCAGGAATATTGCTGAGCGTTCTGGACAAGACAGTCCAGTGATCAACACCATGAGCATCGATCTACAAGATTGGATGTTGATAATGAAACGGATGAAGCAGGTCAGCGAGCCTGACTATCTGATCCTGTTAGTCGCCTGAGAAGCATGGGTTGAAGACCAGGTCTCAACTGGATCCTCGGGCAAGATATATATCAGCTGATCTTACCGAAACTCGTTGATAATTATGTGTCTGAAACCAGGAACATCCACAAAGGCATGTGAAATCTGAAACGCCAAGTGCACAGATTAACTACCTGCTGTCACCTCTTAAGGTCTGCAGTCTTATAAAATGGGGATGGGGGACGGGGGGATCTGAGCAATATTATTTTTTCATCTGATGCAAACAAAGAACTGCAGTCAAAGTACAAAGTACTCCACATAGGTGTTTGCAGAAAAACAATCTTAATATAATTATGGTACTTTGGTTCCAAATTATATACTGATACTTTTTCACTTTAGCATAATGGAAGACAACGACAATATGCAGTCTAATCGGCAAATATATTGCTAGTGTCAAATGTTGAGGGAAAAAAATATGGGATCACATGAAAGCACAAGTGTTCCTTTATTTTTTTCCAGGTTTCTTCACAAGCGTTGTATAGCATAGCTATTGTCTATACTGAGTCAAAAAAGAAACTTCACAAAATGTAATTTGAAAAATAATGAATCAGTTTTCTCTGATGATACATCTATGTATCCGAAATGGGATCCCTATCTTTCGACTCTAGAAATATGTTAGCAAAACCCACTCAAACCCATCCATTCGTCGTGAAAATGATGTTAGTGCCAAATCAGGTTTTGCACGTGCAGTCGATCACGTGATCTTCGCATCGAAGTTTTCTTCATATGCACGTGTTTGCATTGGTCTCAAGAACTGAAAAACCACTTTTAAACCACAGTTCTAACGGTACTTGAAATGCCACGATTGTCAAATGTGCAACGTGAACGTGCCGTTGGCATGTTGCAAGCGGGAAGATCAGTTATTGACGTCGCAAGAGCAATGGGATGCAGCCGTCGTACTGTGTATGACTTGCGAGGTCGTCTACAACAAACTGGCACCACTTCTGATCGCCCAAGGTCGGGTCGTCCACGTGTGACGTCACGAGCAGAAGACCGTCAAATCGTCCTACGTCACCTACGTGACAGACTTCTGCCGGCTAAACGAACCAGGGCTGAGATGTTTAGAGGTCAACTGTCCTCACAGACCATTCGAAATCGGTTGCGGGCTGCCAATCTCCATTCTCGACGTCCATATCGTGGGCCAATATTGACGCCGTTTCATCAACGTCAACGTCTGCTGTGGGCCTAACGTCACCTCCGATGGACCCAGAGAGACTGGAATCGAGTCGTCTTCAGCGATGAATCCAGGTTTACCCTCAGATTCGCGGACGGCAGGCATACAGTCTGGAGACGACGTCGTGAACGGTATGCCCAATGTTGTGTACAGGAAGTCGACAGATTCGGGGGCGGAGGAAGTTGCATGGTGTGGGGTGCTTTCTGTGGGAACAACCGTTCCCAACTTCTGGTCATCCGTGGAAACGTCACAGCTGCTGCTTACCGCGACCAGGTGCTCACCCCTGAACTCGTTCCTTTCATGGCGGCTCATGGCCCAGGTCTACAGTTCCAGCATGATAATGCTCGGCCGCATACCGCGATGTTGACACGAAATTTCCTTCAAAACGCTGGAATCAACGTCATGGACTGGCTATCGAGGTCCCCGGACCTTAATGCAATAGAGCACGTTTGGGATGCACTTGGGAGAAGGCTTCGTGGTCTTAGGAACCAACCTCAGAATTTGCAGGAACTTGGCGCTGCCTTGCAAGAGCAATGGCGCAGAATCCCCAACCACGTGTTCACAAGCATCAGGCAGTCGATGAGGAGACGGTGTTTGGCAGTGGTGAATGCGCGGGGCGGTCATACACGATTTTGAACTGAGAAATTTCGCATTTTTATTCTTGTGACTTGACATTCTGTATACCCGTTTTGGAACGGCGGTGTAGCCTAATGGAACTGATTATGGCACTGTCAGTGTATCGAGTACATCACACAGATCTCAGCAATGAAATAATAACAATTTAACCATCTTACCATCTCTTGTTCTTTTATAGTGCCCTGAAGAAAGAATGTGAAGTTTCTTTTTTGACTCAGTATATCGTAATACCAGACCAGTTTAGTGTGGGGACCCAGTTTATTTGAAAAGGTATTCAGTGCATCAAGTGACACAATCGGTAGGGATTAACGTTTAACGTTCATGTAAATTTACATACGTTATACCATCTATATAAGAATAGGGACACACGGGTGGTCCGCTTGTCACTACTTGTAAATTATGTCCCTTGTCAGTACCAGGAACCTATAATGTCTGATTGGCTGTGACTGGGTTGCCAGGTTTGTCATACCCGTCAACCTGCATCACTTCGGGTTTTCAAATACTGTTCAAAGCGGCGTTAAACCAAACATATTAAATATGAGGAAATGCCCAAGCACAGAAGACGAAGAAAACATGCAAAACAAATTTGTCGACCAGTAAAAATTTTCTCCACCTACTTACCACCTTCGTAAATGCAGCTGAGTAGTTTAAATAGATGGCTGAAGTATTATTATCTAGATCTTCGGAAAACGTTGCATTAATTTTCAGAGAAAAATCAAGGTTGAAAGTTGCCCTTTCTGAAAAAAGAGAGTAGACATATTTATATCTCATTTATATCATAAATATTCCCTAATCGAAAAGTTTGATCATATTTTTAACGTAAAGGAAGTAATTAAATGGATAATTCAATGTGAAACGGATGAACAGATTGGTATACTGACAAAACAAGTACCGGAGCGTTTTTTATTGTGATTATTCGGCACTCCTTGGTCAACAAATCAGACACTAAAATCTCGCGGTGACCTATTTGTTAATGTGGATGAGGGTATATTCGTACCCAGCCATAAGTACAGATGAAAATACTGATAAATTCACACGAATGGAAATACGAAACAGAACCGTATTTTCCCCGGTACCGTGGCTGAATTAAGTATCGTGAGTCCAGTATTATTTATAAGACCTAATGATGGCAACTTCAACCATGTCTTATATCTTAATAATCTTATCTTAATATGGCGACAACTGAAGCCATATTGAAAAGCGTTCATTTCTATACAAATTATGTTAAATGTCGTATCTGTTTAGTTTCTTGTTGGATTTAACGCTTACGTTACATGTTACAAATTCAAATTTCTTTTAACTGTGTTTTGACATGCTCTCTCAAAATGTGTAATTGGATTTGTAATATGTAAATATGGTACATATCTCTAAAAGGTACCCTCTATTGAGTGAGCCGAACCGTACAGTTTTTTGTCACATTGATCAGAGCTGGAAATCCTCGAAGTTACGTAGGTGATACACATACTGAGGTGGCCACCCCCAATGGCCACAGTTTAGTCAGTGCCTAAGTGAGTGACTGAGAGTGAGTAGTGAGGTTAGATTTACAACTCTTTTAGCAATATTCTAGCAATAGCACGGCGGGGGACACAGACATGTGTTGCACACATTGCGAAGGCTTTAACCGTTTTTACGAATGAAGTTAAAATTCCGAGAGCTGCATTTTATTCTTCTGGCCAACTAATTTAATTTCTGTAATAAATAAAATATGGTCTTTTGGGGGAAAAAAAGCCTCAGCTTTTAACTGAAAATATTACAATAGTCATTGTATTGTTTGATTTTACCCGCTCTGATTTTACCCGATTCATCAAAGTAAGCATTTATAGAAAAATAGATTTCCATTTCCAATACGATCAATCTCTGCGGCCCAGAGCGAATCCACGTCTTCGGCAAATTATTTGATGGTCAGCCTGCCTGAATGGATTGTTTGGTAGAGATTAGAATATTGAAACACCGCCATAAAATACCGGGACTATTGCCGACTGCGGCGTTAAACACAAACCCAATAAGCAATGCATCTGGGGAAAAAAATCAATCATCAAAACCTCAAGAGATTATAGAAGAATGCCTTACCAGGATGCGAAGGGATTGTAGGGGGAGGAGTTGTTAATATCGTCGTTGCTGTTGTAGGCTGTGCTGGGGCTAATCCGGATGTAACATTTCTGCTGCTTCCTTCGCTTGATCCTGATTTGGGCTTTTGAGATTTAGTTGCACTGGGTGTTGGGTTTGATCCAGATGTGGGTTTTGGGGATGCAGTTGCACTGGGTCCTGGGTTTGATCCGGATGTGGGTTTTGGGGATGCAGTTGCACTGGGTCCTGGGTTTGATCCGGATGTGGGTTTTGGGGATGCAGTTGCACTGGGTCCTGGGTTTGATCCGGATGTGGGTTTTGGGGATGCAGTTGCACTGGGTCCTGGGTTTTTGATCCGGATGTGGTTTTTGGGGATGCAGTTGCACTGGGTCCTGGGTTTGATCCGGATGTGGGTTTTGGGGATGCAGTTGCACTGGGTCCTGGGTTTGATCCGGATGTGGGTTTTGGGGATGCAGTTGCACTGGGTCCTGGGTTTGATCCGGATGTATGTTTTGGGGATGCAGTTCCACTGGGTCCTGGGTTTGATCCGGGTGCAGTTGCACTGGGTCCTGGTTTTGATCCGGATGTGGGTTTCAGGGGATGCAGTTGCACTGGGTCCTGGGTTTGATCCGGATGTGGGTTTTGGGGATGCAGTTGCACTGGGTCCTGGGTTTGATCTGATGCATTGGGTGTTGGGTGGATGTGGGTTTTGGGGATGCAGTTGCACTGGGTCCTGGGTTTGATCCGGGTGCAGTTGCACTGGGTCCTGGGTTTGATCCGGATGTGGGTTTTGGGGATGCAGTTGCACTGGGTCCTGGGTTTGATCCGGGTGCAGTTGCACTGGGTCCTGGGTTTGATCCGGATGTGGGTTTTGGGGATGCAGTTGCACTGGGTCCTGGGTTTGATCGGATGTGGGCAGATGGATGGGCTGGGTTTGATCTGGATGCAGTTGCACTGGGTCCTGGGTTTTGATGTGGGTTGCACTGGGGATGCAGTTGCACTGGGTCCTGGGTTTGATCGGATGCAGTTGCACTGGGTGTTGGGTTTTTGGGGATGCAGTTGCACTGGGTCCTGGGTTTGATCTGGGTGCAGTTGCACTGGGTCCTGGGTTTGATCGGATGTGCAGTTTTTTGGGGATGCTGGGTTTGTGCAGCTGCACTGGGTCCTGGGTTTGATCCGGATGTGGGTTTTGCACAGTTGCACTGGGTCCTGGGGTTTTGGGGATGCAGCTGCACTGGGTGTTGGGATGTGGGTTTTGGGGATGCAGTTGCACTGGGTCCTGGGTTTGATCCGGGTGCAGTTGCACTGGGTCCTGGGTTTGATCCGGATGTGGGTTTTGGGGATGCAGTTGCACTGGGTCCTGGGTTTGATCCGGGTGCAGTTGCACTGGGTCCTGGGTTTGATCCGGATGTGGGTTTTGGGGATGCAGTTGCACTGGGTCCTGGGTTTGATCCGGATGTGGGTTTTGGGGATGCAGTTGCACTGGGTCCTGGGTTTGATCCGGGTGCAGTTGCCCTGGGTCCTGGGCTTGATCCGGGTGCAGTTGCACCGGATGTTAGGTTTGGGCTTGTTCCAGTATTGGTTGTGTTAGATGCGAGTCCGATAAAACAGATAGCCAAAACTAAGATAGTTGTTTTCATCTTTTTGTCTGGAAGGAGGTTATTCGTTTCTTTCAACAAACTGTTGAGATGACAGGACACCTGTCTGTGTAATAGCTGTGATGCTTCCCCAATCAAACTGCAAAAATTAAGAGGGTTTTTAGTATATCTAAATGAAATACGTATCCTTTCTCAGTGACGCCTTATATTATGCTCTACTACACACACATCAACGTACAACTGCATTTGTGAAGTATTGTAGTCAGGATAGTTGATATGACAGTTAAGCATACACGAGAACCATTTCAGAGCATGTACCACCTAATTATGTGAAGATACATACAATCACCTCGTGGGCATGACTTAAGTACAATTTCCATATTCATTACTGGAGCTAGGGTTCAACAGATATAAAATTAATGTATTCAGGCCTTGGTCTGACTGCTTTACAGCTGTTCGAACGACAACCAACGTCAGGGTCAACTGTTGAATGAATATACCTTTATATTACGATTAATATTTAGTTTTAGTCAAATTAAAGAGACTTATTACAGTAGACCTGAATATTGCACTGATTCTCATATTGAGATATATTGCAATAATTTGAGAGATATTGCAATACATATTGTGATATATTGACTGGAAGGTTTCATCATCGTCTTAGCTGCTTTTTCACCATACTTTTATTGTGTGTGGCTGTATGCAAATGGTTTACAGAGACATACATGATATAGAGCCTTAATGTGGAATGTTTAACTGAAGTACTGCAAGAAAGTTTTGCGAACGTAATGATAAAGGTAATAGTATAACATGATTTTCATGTTCAGTGTTGTTTGCTTCAAAAGACCACATTGTAGTTGTTCCAGTCTCTATTTATTTCACTACCAAGATTTTGACACAACCCCTCATCCACGTTAACGCACGTGCATCTCGCTTTTCGCGCTGTTCCTTTTGTTACCACTGCGCCTTTGTAACAAACTTGGAAAACGCAAAAATAAATGATGAACGTTTCTTGAACAACTCTTTTACTTTGTGACAAAAATTATGCAATTTCTTTCTAGAGTTGGTCTGTTGTTTTTATTGCACTCCGCTTTGGTTTGATTCTTTTATGTCTATTTGTTTTGTGTTAGATTGCAATTCATCGGTATCATTTTGTCTCAAACGGACTGTAGTTATCAACGCAGCAAAATGCGTCAATTTATGTTGCCATTTTTGCTTCTCTGGATACACTACACTTATTCGTTCTTTTTTTGTTTAGATGGGCCATGTAAATTCTTTGAGGGTCAGTTATCCAGATAGCAAAATAACATAATGTCTAAGTAAGTTCCTTTGCTGTGGTTAATTATGGCATATTAAGACAAAAATATGGGGTGTTACGTGTTACAGTACTTTCTTTCATGTGTAACTATCCATAAATATGGGAATTGTACTTGACATTTGCACTCGAAATAAACACTTGATTACATATCTTCACGTTGTTAGGTCGTACTTCTGGTGGGTGTATAACTCTCATAAGCGTAATACTGTTACAAAATATCCCACAGTTTACACCAAAAATCGGTTAATCAACTATTTTAACAACCCAGCACTATCTTCGACTTGGTTTTCTCCAAACAGCGAGTGAGTGAGTTTAGTTTTACGCCGCTTTTAACAATACTGCAGCAATATCACGGCGGAGGAAACCAGATACGAGCTTAACACATTGTACCCATGTGGAGAATCGAACCCGGGTCTTCGGCGTGACGAGAGAACTCTTTAACCACTATGCTACCCCACCGTCCCCTCGCTCAAAACAGACTCTGCAGATGCAGTTGTAGATGGGTGTAGTACTAGATCACAAGTCGTAACTTTTCCATTTCGCTTTTCAAATCAATTTACTTTGACGTATGGTGGGTATTATCTTATCATTGTGCCCGGCATCAATGGGATAAAACAATGAATTGGTAAAACGCCTGATTGAGGTACCTATGTCAAACTAGGGAATTTGTAATCAATAGGGGAGGAGAGTGAGATTAGTTTCACGCCGGACTCAGCAATATTCCAGCTATATGGCGGTGGTCTGTAAATAATCGAGTCTGGACCAGACAATCCAGTGACCAACAGCATGAGCATCGATCTACAATACAGTATTGGTGTATGTTATATGTCTATTTACATGATAATGTACACACTGCTGCCATTGTGGGTTTCAATTTTATAACTGTAAAGTTCTAAATTTGGTTGAGACTACTACTACCACTACTACTACTACTACTACTACTACTACTACTACTCTTCAACGGGACGTAAAATACCTCTTCACCTCACCTCAGTTTGCTCCCTTGGTAGAAAGGGGCATGTTTTTCCGTTTATTTTTTTCTGAGCTCCGGTACAATAAAAATATAAATAAATACTTAAAATAAATACAAATCATAGACTTTCATTACGTCTGATCAACTTAGTTTCATAATGTTGAACATACCTAGGGTGTCGTTCCTCGCTCACATCCCATATTAATGTCTATCCACTGCATGTTATCATCACTGTCTATAACGTGGTGGCCGATGTCACCAGATCGGACACAATGAAGGCGTGCCCGTAAATGTGTTGCAAAGTTCGAAATCGTTGATAAAGGCAGTGTCGTATTCACAGCGATCTTAGTGTTGGTCGGTGTTTTGATTAGATTACACGACCCCATCTACGGATCACACCATTTTTATATTGCACATACTGCGAACAGTTTTCAACTTCGGCCAAAACACCAATTTCACGACCGCTCTCTATTGGAAATACAGGGAAAATATACATTTTATGTTCCCATCAGCCCAGCCTCGGATTATTGCCGGCCATGTTTTCGTTCACACCATAACCGTTTACTATCTAAATAAAGACTGGACTCGATTCAACTACTCCCTTTTACAAGATTTTGTAATAACAGAAAGTCTAAATTGTGTAAAGTGGCCCTCAGTTAAACCAAGCGTCTTTTTCACAAAGTGAAAGGTCAAGGTCACCAGAAGTCTTATAACGTGTATGTTTGATCGGCTTTGAGAACTCAGCGACACTTCCTGCGGATGAACGCTGTTTCTGTGGCTGTGGTTGTGGCCGTGTCGTAGCCGTCTATCTATCTCATCACACTCTTCTCTAGGTTTAAAGTCTGGCGTTCAGGGTATATTGAATAAAACAATCTTTGGGCTAAGGTGATCTTAAGTCCCATACCTCAACATAGACTTACGACAGTCTTAGCACTACGGTTGTTTGGTACAGCGGCACCCTGGAGGGTCAAGTGAGGACGTCAACTTTACTGTGTGGTTGGGAGGCTTGGCGTTGTCGACGACACGGATGACATTAAGCCGCAGGATATGATTGATGTAGCGTTAGGTAGCCCTGAATGCGGATATGGTTTGTCCTGGGATTGTGGGAGATGGCCTACATCATCTCATTGCACCCCACCAAACCAGTCTACGCAGCAAAACTCTAAGCACCTGGCGACATTGAAGTCGCAGTTAACAATGTGCTTGCTGGACGTCTGGCGTGTAGGCCTGCCTCACGTAGGCTGCGATATTCTCCGCATGCCGGTATTGCCGATGGGGATTGACGCTGACGCCACACGTGATCTACTTCATCTCGGTTGGCCACGAGAAGGCCTGAGTCGAGGCATCTCTTCTCGAGGCTACGTTCATCTAAATACATACAACAAACCAAAAACGTTGCCTTTAAATATGGTTCTTGACTTCAACTTGGTATTGAATGTGCAGTACACTTCAGGATGTTTTTTTTCCGATTGCAACAGGGGCGGTGGGGGTAGCCTAGTGGTTAAGGCGTTCGCTCGTCACGCTGAAGATCCGGGTTCGATTCCCCACTTGGGTACAATGTGTGAAGCTCATTGCTGGTGTTCCATCCGTGAAATTGTTAAAAGCCGCGTAAAACCCAACTCACTCTTTTTGTGAGGTGAGATGAAATTGGGTTTAACGCCGTGCTTGAGAATATTTCGCTCATATGACGACGTGCATGCGTGTGTATATGTACGGCTGATTGTACTAGCCCAGAATGAAGCTGGTTTTTATAGTGCTAGCTCACCGAGATACCATGCCGCAGTGAAGCATGACTATCCCACTCAGACATAGTATACGGACTCCGAGCCGACCAGTCCTTCTTGTACCCATTAATGCCGCGCGCCAGGCTGGGACCAACAAGTACCATATTTTAAGGTCTTTTGGTATGACGCGGTCGGGGATCGAACCCGCGACCTTCCGCTCTCCGGGCGGACGCTCTAACCACTACACCACGGAGGCGGTCTCTCTCCGTTTGTAACAATGGGGATATTTACGGACAGCTAGACTCTTTTATGAATCAAACCGGAACTAGGTCCATTATTCGGAGAAAATAGTTTTACGCCGCAATATTCCAGCCATATGGTGGTGGTTTGTAAATAATCGAGTATGGACCAGACATCCAGTGATCGACAGCATGGGCGTCGATCTACGCAATAGGGATACGATGACAAGTGTTAACCAAGTCAGCGAGCCTGACCACCCGTATTTTGATGTGAATATATATAAACACATAGATAGGGTCATGAATAATTTTGGGATATTCATATGAAATTGTATGCTTAGTCTAAACTACCTTTGAACTCCAGGGAGGTTAAGAATGACTTAGATTGCGGTTCAGAGTCTGCGACAGACTTCTTCTTCTGCACTGCTAAAGCCCTAAATGAAGCAAGTATAGATTTCCTCAGGTTCTGAATCTATCTTATTGAGGTTAACGTTCCTTTTCAATTTAAAAGGAATTTGTGTCTATCAAACTTATGTGTATTCAGAGAGTAACAGGGACTTAACGCCGTTTTCAAGAATATGTGCATGCGTGAAAAACGGTTTTGTGGGACTACCGCACTGAAATACCATGCCACAGTAAGACAAGGATACCCCCTGTCTTGACATCTTGTGGCAAACCCCTGTTCCCAGACCAAGACAGTCCTTTGCCATTAATAATAACAAGACATATTACTGGAACGGTAATATGAAACAACAGGCCAGAGCTTACACCGCTTTTAGCAATGTTCCAGCAATACCACGGCGGGGACACAAAAAATGGGCTTCACACATAGTGCCCATGTAGGGAATCGAACGGTCTTCAGCTTGACGAGTGGACGCTTTAATCATTAGGCTACCCCACCACAGGCCTGGATAGATCTCAACGATGGGCCGATCAGATCACCCTGATATAATCAGTGGGCGAGGCTTGAAATAACTCACAAGTGCATCATTTTGAACTCAGTTCAGATAAGATAAGTGTAACAGTCACGACGCAAGGTTGCTCCGGCGATTATCATTATCCTTGTGTCTGCTGTCTTCCTGGTATCAATGTAACAATTAGTCACATATACATGTCAGTTTTCCATTAGTTGGATAAATCCACAACACTAAAATTCTTATGTATTTGCCTTTTGAGAAAGTGGTATCTTACCAAACAATATTTTCTGCCACCAATGTTTAAATACAACAGACACCAAATATTACATAACATGTTTACTTTCAGTAGCCTATACAATCATTAACAAAACTTGGCTTGTGCTGTTGCCAACAGAAGCAATGGAACCAACTTTTGGCATTATGTTCAATATATATAATAGAAGCAAGCACAGTTTGGCATGTGTATTTCTTGAATGGTATAAACATTTTGTGTTCCTACCCTTTCCAAAGATGGTGAGACAATGCTTGTTGCTCAAAGTGAAGATTAGGAAAACGATGTCCATTCCTGGTGGAGGCAATAAACAAGGAACATGCATCCTTAAAACATTATATATATACACACACACACACGAGCATTAATTAAGACCCTTGTTATTCAAAATCAAGATCAAAGCTTGAAGAAACAGACCAAGGTACTTCACAAGAAATCAGACCTCTGCAGCACCAAGACAAGTGTGGTTATGACTAGGCTGACAGGACCCCATACTTTTCTGTGTTGATGAAATGAACATTGTTTAGACTTCTTCACAAAAATGCCTTTAAATCAGTATTGATCGTCATGCTTTTGTTTTGTCAACTCGAGAAGATCAGGGTTAGAATTGATCTTCAATAACCCATGCTTGTCGTAAGAGGCGACTAACAGGATCGGGTGTTGTCAGGCTCGCTGACTTGGTTGACACGTCATTGTATCCCAATTGTATAGATCAATGCTCATGCTGTTGATCACTGGAATGTCTGGTCCATACTCGATTATTTACAGACCGCCGCTATATAGCTGGAATATTGCTGAGTGCAGCGAAAACCTTAACTCGCTCACTTTTGTTTTGTCATGTTTCCAACAGTGAATCCCACAGGTCATCTCTTATCTTCATTCATGAACAAGTAAGTATTTAGTGCCTAATTCATGCTCATGTGGATGTTTTCTTTGCACACAGGTTATACACTGTAAGTGACCTACTGATATATTCTTTCCACTGCTGTATGTATAAGTAACATACATGATTTCTCATTCACACCTATCCTGAAGATTGAGCAAATACAAAGCACAGTGAATAATGCTCTTCTACCTCAGTTCAATTCAGGCATTATCTTTTTAATGTAGCAAAACACTGGCCAACATAACAAATATTATGCTATCACTTGCACATTCCCATCACTTCTACCAGGAAAACCTCGCAGCTCCACTCATGCCATATATACATATGATACAAGATAATATATACAAGATAATATATGAGATGTAAATACATGATATACAATATGATACATCAAGACAAATCAGAACACCAGGTGTCTACAACATCTCCAGAGCTGCTGTGCTAATAAATGTCACAATACAAAGAAACAATATGTGGTTTTGATTGAATCTCACAACTGTACCTCCTGTGTATCTCACACCCCCCCCTTTAACCCTCTGGAAAGCATTGAGAGATTACACTATTTCAGTGGGGTGTCGAAACACTGTTTCAAACCACTGCTTTCTTCACATTAATCTGAACTCATGTGAGAAATGGAATTGTTGGTGGGTTTTTTCCCCCTTCATTAATTGCAGCACTTCTTAACAGGGGAGGGGGGCTCTTGGTCGTAAATTGCTGTTGAATACTGATGAACATCAATAACAAAACAATGAGGACATTATATTTGTTCGTTAACTGTCATTTGATCATGATTTGCACGTACAAAAAATAATATAATAAATATTAGTGCTATAGCTGACATGAATCATAAATAAACAAGTGAAAGAGTCACTGATGGCTCAAAATCATGTCTACTTTTTCTTCTGTTAGTATTTACGGACAGTGTTCATTCTCTCATGCAGAAACCAATTAATGGAATAATCTTTCCTTCAAACTTGGCAGCAGAAATTCACTCAAGATACATTTCATCCGCCAACCATTGATGGAACTATTAGCATCATATACAGAATGGAGAAGTGCCATACAAATGTATTGTTTGTATAGCATCGTAAATGAGTTACATTCATATTTCTGTACCTGATTGCTCAAAGTGATATCTGCGCTATGACTATCTTAAGTCTATTTTGGATTATGGGAGATACGATAGTAGCCAATATTTGCTAGCATTTAAATTGGGCCATGTATCTGTAACTCAATAAACTTCATTATGGGGCTATTGTGCAGTGGGATCTGCCATATATTTCTTTAAATGTAATTCGACTTTTAGATCACCTCACCCAAACCATATGGATTCCAGGTGAAATATGTCCCTAACACCAAAGTGTAAACAGTCTGTGAGGCCAGGATACGATTTGTGTCTGATACAGTACTTACAGTACATATTGTCTCCCTTTTAGCAGGTGAATCACAACAATGAATCATTTGTTTTCAAATTTCAGATAGCAAAGACTTGATACTGTTGGGGAAATACAGATTAAAAAAACCAGATAAGCACTGTACAGATTTGGCATAAACTGGTTCTTGGACAGTTTCCGTTATTATTGACATTTTTACTCCACTATAAGCTGTAAATCTATGTACTGTATCGTGAGCCTTGTATTTTGCTCAACACTACCAACAACCAATGCTTGTTAAATGCGACAATATTGATCAGGTGTTCAGGCTTACTGACTTTATTTGTATCATCATGCTGCTCACCATGTCAATCTTTGGTTTGTTTGGTCCAGAACCTGTTATTGTCACACTGCCCTCATACAGCTGGAATATTACCAAGTGTGTTATTAAACGACACACAACAAAAGAATAAGCAATATCAACCCCTGTGACACAGTCTGAAGGATTCAGCTGAAATTATGTGTGAATATGGGGATTCAAAATTGAGAATTCAATATGGCTGCCATGTAGCCTTCACTGATTAAAGAAACCTAGTTCTCCACAACATGGTGGCAGAGACGATCATATGTAATTTGTTTGAGGCATTGGAAACAGAAATAGCATGCATCAATCTTAAGAAGCTGATGTTTCACAGTTTCTTCCCACCAATGGTGTACCCCAGTTGTCAATATTGCCACCACCACAACAGACATTCTGAAAGATATCTATGGCGATTACTCAGTAAATCATTTTTCCCAATGTTAAGAAATTTGGCAGGTCAAAGTTTATAAAGTAAGGTGAGTAGTGGAAATTTTCAACATGGCTGCTGTCGTCCACGTTTGGAAAGGGATCTGAGTTTAAGCGACACCATTGCGAGTCATGTTTGCATAGTTTCAGCTTCATAGATCATGTAAATCCAGCACATCATGTGATTTTAGGTTGAGCTAAAAATAGAAATGTTAAAACTGAACCTAGGGTAGATGTGTCAAGGAACCTGTGCACTGACCAACAACAGGAATGTCTTTTCTAACCATTACAGATATATCCCTCAATACTGACAGTGCTCATTTTCAGTAGTGTTTTAAAAGTGAAAATGAATAAATCTCCAACCAATCAAAATTAAATGTGAGACTTAAAAGAACATACTGCAGATAAAAAATAAATATGGAACCCACGATTTGTCAGTACCCTGATAAAAATCACACACAACCAACAAAACATGCTAAACACAACCATTATAATGCTATCACTCCATTTGTAATACAGATCGGAACCAAGATGGCAAAGAAACAGATGACGTTCCTCAGCAGGGACTTCCAGTCGTTCGGCACGGCGTATTTGGCCAGGTTGGCGGTGATCTTGGATATCTCATGACTGATGCAGATGAAAATGAAGGAGGTGAGGATGACGTTGAGGACAGGGTAGCTTGGGATGAGCACAAGCACGCCGTGGGTGTCAGCCGCCAACCAGATGTGATACTGGGAGATGAACAGCTGCAGAATACAAGCATGGGTGATAAGTTTGCAGTCAAAATGCTCAATTACACTTGTTGATTTGAAATCAATTTGTTTTTTGTTTGTTTGATACACTACAACATTCCAAGCCATAATCTAGTCTAAACCTGACTATCCAGTGATTGATATTATGCCTTACAATTCCCACTGTAAGGGTAAAATCAGACAAAATCCCGAAGTCCGATCGTATGATCCTTTAAGCTTCATCCCACATGAACATGGGTTTCTGGGGCCCAGTTCATGCCTTGAGTCCCCCACCTAGCAAAGACTAATTCTGACCACCATTCAAAATTCGGGGATCCTATTTCAAATGTTTTAAAATAACAAGGAACACTTGGCTTCCATGATTAATTTCCTATAAGTACAACTAGAGACTCACCTCAAGTGAAATCTTGCCAAACCAAGCAAAGAAAGAGCTGTACCTCGTTCTCAGCCACCCTGGCACATTCCGTAAAACTATGTAGGAAATAATCTGAAACAACGAGACATTGGGTGATAAATGACTTGTCCAGCCCATGTGTAATAACAGTTGGCATCACTAGAGTGCAATCAATGATGAGGGTAACCGGGCTGAGCTTGAACGAGTAACCGGAAGGATGATGTCATAATCAAGACCCCACCATCAGCCTAGAGTAAGTGAGTAAGTGAGTAAGTGAGGTTTTACACCGTTTTTAGAAACATTCAGGCAATATCACGGTGGTAGACAACAGATTGGTTTTTGGTTGGTTGGTTGGTTTGTTGTTTTATGCCACACTCAGCAATATTCGCGTGGTCTGTAAACAATCGAGGCTGGACTAGAAAATCAAGTGATCAACAGCATGAGCATCGATCTATGCAACTGGGATATGATGACATGTCAACCACGCCTGACTACCTGTTCCCATGCTTAAGACGGGCATGGGCTGCTGAAGAGCAATTCTGACCGGGTCTTCACAGGTATGTAGACACCAGAAATGGCCTTCAGACATTGTACACATGAGGTGAATTGAATCCGGGTCTTCGGCATGACAAGCAAACACTTTAACCGCCCCTCCATCAGCCTCCCCACCTGTCCACACTTAGTCGTCCCTTTAAGCTATGAAACTAGATACTGTGATCCATCCACATGGATCAAAAGTAATGAAAAAAGCAAGTCCAAATCTCTCAAATACCTTTACAGTCAGTTGACTTTTTGTCCATTTTTAGCCAATCCACAACAAATTACATGAGAACATTTGGAACATTCTAAACAATTACTAAACAGCTATACTTACAGGAAGGAAGGTTATGTAAGAGTGTACATCATTACACTGCTGTTTATTGCCACAGAGGAAGGTGAAGGCAGCGTAACTCTGAAATTAACAACATAACATTCAAATGTTACATCCACCTGTACCACAGGCCAATGCAAATACTAGGATCTTATTTTTTGAGCGGGGAAAATTAATTTATATTTTTTTTCTTCTTATTCTTGAAAAAATACAACCGGTGGATCCATAAAACAAGAAATAAAATTAGTCTGGCCTAAATACCATGTGTAATTACAAATAAATAAACATACGCCAATATTAGTTAACAACAAAAATTACTGGATAGGCTCTGGTGTAACTAGAAATATTTTGGTGTTTCATTCATAAACAGAAGCAGCCAAGTCCAAGCCATTTCATGACTGCCCCACAAACATCTGCATCAGAAATATGTTTGTTTGTTTGTTTCTTGTTTAATGCTGCACTCAACAATAATCAAGCTATATCACAGCGGTCTGTAAACAATCGAGTCTGGACCGGACAATCCAGAGATCCACAGAATGAGCATTAGGGGTGTCGCGATATGCGAATGTATCGATGCATCGATACATTTTTACTGACGATACAATACGTGATACATGCTTGCGTGTATCGATTCCTATTTTAAAACTTTATCGATTCAAATTTTTTGCTATATCCATTTCCGTCAAAGTCTTGATAGTAAAATTATACCAGCCCGCTCCGATAAATAGATGTAGCTAGCTTTACTTAAAAAATAGGTTGGAAACTAACAGCTTTTGTGATTGGCTAGACTATTTTGATGGACCAATCAGCGAGCTGTGTACGTTGCCGGTAAGGTAATGCTATGAATAGGCGCGATAATTATTTATCGCGATACATATCGTATCGTGACCTTAAATTCGTGATACGTATCGTATCGTGACATTGGTTTATCGTGACACCCCTAATGAGCATCAATCTGCACATTTAGGACACAAAGACATGTGTCAACCAAGACAGCGAGCCTGACCACCAGATCCTGTTTGTCACTTCTTACAAGCAAGGGTTACTGAAGACTTATTCTATCCTGGATGTTCATAGGTGGGTAGGCTGAAGGGGAATCAGTTCAGTAGACCACCCAATCCCATTATTCAGCATAGATTGAATTGAACTGCATGACAAGTCTGTGCACAGTCTACTGTGCTATCCTCACACAGACAGTAAGCTAAGCAGCACCTACCCCAATGCCTATCAATCCCAGCACGCCCAGCAACCAGGATATTGGCTTAGAGAAGAGATTTTCCTCGTGGCTATCATTGATGATCTTGTACCTCAGAAGAACTTGATACCCAAACGCAAACAGCATTCCATAAACTACACTCTGAAAACAAAAGAAAAAGATTTGAGATTTTACGAAAATACATATATCAAATCCAAAGCTCAATCCACAACCCCCCACACACGAAAAAGATACATTTGAATCATGGAAATGGGGAAATAAATGGTACTGGATCTGTAATATTTCACATCTTACATCATCCCCTGACACAATAAAAAGCAGTTTTTTAAAACAAAATAATACTCCCCAAATGAAAACGGTACACCTACAGAATACCGGCTCCCAACCAGCCATATTGTTTAGTGTCACGTCCCACTAACCCTAAACCTTACCCTAAACCATACCCTAACCCTAAGTAAACTTTCATGCTTTCAAAGATGGCAGAAGATATCCGGTATTCTGTAGTGTAACCACGAAAACGAACAGCATTGTAATGTTAATACTCACATATCTATCTAACTGCCACCGGAATCGCCACTCGTGCAGTGAATCATCAGATGTCACAAACAGGGCCTTGAAAGGCCTGGTTAAAAATACTTTTTCAAAAAATACCTGAAAAAGAATCAATATTACATGTGAGGTAGTCTCTAAATAATACAATACCTACTGTAAAATAGTAGCTCATCAAAACAGTTTGACACTGATATGGCAATGTCACCACTAAAGAATGGAATATTTATAACATATTTACTACTTTTTATTTTTTGGTCGCATACAAGATGCCTGAAATGACTGGTGTCTGCAGAATCACCCAATGTAGGCAGTCGATATAATTGAAGACATTGGGTGCAATGTTTTATGAGATATTGCGTTTATATAAGTTTGAAAAGTGTCGTGGTGACCTTGAAGATAAGGTCAAGGTCATTCAAATCAACTGGTGTCTGCATAATCCGCCAATGTAGGCTGTCACCAAGTTGAAGGTACTGGGTGCAACAGTTCATGAGATTTTGCACTAACAAGAGGTTGAAAAGTGGTCAAAGTGTTGTGGTGACCTTGGAGATAAGGTCATGGTGACCCAATATAAACTGGTGTCTGCGTAATCAACCAATGTAGGCTGTCACCAAATTTGAAGATATTGGAAACAACAGTTCATGAGATTTCGCTTTAACAAGAGTTTGAAAAGTGATCAAAGTGTCGTGGTGACCTTGAAAATAAAGGTCACGGTCACCCAAATCGACTGGTGTCTGGGTAATCCCCGATGTATGCTGTCCCCAAATTGGAAGACATTGGGTACAACAGTTCATGAGATTTCACGTTAACAAGAGTTTGAAAAGTGATCAAAGTGTCTTGGTGACCTTGAAAATAAAGGTCACGGTCACGCAAATTGACTGGTGTCTGTGTAATCCCTGAATGTAGGCTGTCACCAAATTTGAAGACATTGGGTACAACAGTTCATGAGATATCGCGTTAACAGGAATTCGGGACGTACGTACGATTGCTACTGAATACATAGTTCCCCGTTCCGCGTTGCGGCGGGGGACAATTAGTAACAAAATGAAATCAGAGCCAACAAAGTTTCGAATATATTCATAACATATTCATTCCATGTATCTGTCAAAAGTGTTGAGTGAGTGATTATGGTTTTACGCCGCTTTTAGCAATATTCCAGTAATATCACAGTGGGGGGACACATTGTACTCATGTGGGGAATTGAACCCAGGTCTTCGGTGTGATGAGCGAACAATCTAACAGTAGGCTACCCCACCGCCCCTTGACAAAAATTACAACAAACATAAAACACTCTTATCTCCTCCATATGTGACTGGACTGGTCTGGTCTGTACAAGATAACAAGCACTGTCATAAAGGTGACAATCCCCCACCACAAATGATCAAATCAAACTAAAAAAGTAATGAAAGTGAAGGTCGTAGTTTAAGAAAAAGTTCAATGTCAACAAAAACAAGATCAGTCAACCTCATTTGATATCTTGCTCTTCAGTTATTCACACACACACATATTTTCAAGACTGACTTGAACATGACCTTGACATGAATGTCTTAGTGTATGAAATATGCAAAATTAGTAATAAAGAAATTGCTTATTGAAAAACATTCAAGGGAAGTCTTGAAAGTCTATGAAGAAAATCCAGTGAACCGTCTTGAGGTATCTTGCTGACAATCTTAACATGAAGCTTCACATGATGACATCTTCAAAGTGTTGCCATGACCTTGAAAATTGAGTGAAGGTCACCAAAATCGACTGGGCCCTGTGCCTTCCTTAGATAAAGCTTGGTGTTGAATATGAAGAAATTGCAGTGAACAGTTCTTGAGATATCTTGCTGACAAGCTCAACATGCATGTTAACATGATGAAATCTTCAAATTGTCGCTGTGACCTTGAAAATTAAGTGAAGGTCACCAAAATCGAGTGGGGCCTGCGCCCTAGATAAGGCTTGGTGTTGAATATGAAGAAATTCCAGTGAACAGTTCTTTAGATATCTCACTGACAAGGGTAAAATGTTAAAGTCCCTTGTGACCTTGAAATGAAGGTCAAGGTCACCAAACCTGACTGCAACCTTTCTTATACTGTGATGAACCTAGGTACCAAATGTGAAAAGAATCTAGTCAACAGTTCTTAAAATATTCCAATTTGTACGTACGTACGGGCAGAGCCTAATACTATAACCCTGTGCTATGTTCACTTTTCGTAATTGCAATCATTAAAAAAAACATTATTCAACACAGCATTAGTTTAATCCAACCTACTGCCCCCCACCCCCCCCAAAAAATAAAAAAATGTACCAGTTTGGCATGTACCAAATGTCTGATGCATATGCAAATATCATGAGTGTATATCAAACAGTCTCCAACTTATGCTCCAGAAACAAAAAGCATGATAAGAAAGCATTCATTTTAATTTTACCTTCCGTCATTGTTTTAAATATGCCACTCAGTAAACCAGAAAGTGATGCTGGTGATGTGAGCAAGTGTTGTCACAGACATACTGACCTCAGACAGGTAGAAGAGAGTGATGATTGTAATCAGCAGAACCATCTTGATAACCATAAACAAGTACTGCAGCACATTCCCTGCAACAAACATAACACCTTCATCAAGTGCTTTGTACACACGCTAGATTGGCGGTATAGAATGTCAATGAATATTCTTTCTGTGAACCTTCAAAAATTATGACAGCAAAATTGATACTGTGACTTCAGAATATGTAAAGTAGAACAAACATGTCTTAAGCCTTTCTTGTTCAGGTAATTTGAGTCTGGCATTAAGATACAAGAAGTAAGGGGAGACAACCATGAAACAACCATAGAAATCCCCTAGAACAAGCATGTAGTGTTAATGAGATATTAGGCTATTAGGCAATCCTGTGCCTGAACAAACATTAAGACAAGAATGCTGATAAGACAGAAAGACTTACCTTCAGCTGATGCCTGTGTAATGTGGGGCCATATCGCCATGGACACGTAGATGACGATGAACCAGTAGGAAACGAGAGGCACAAAGTAGTAAAACTGGTAGGGCCTGTTCATCACAAAACACAACACCACAACTAGCAGGTTCAGCCGGAACAACACCTGCAACACAAACCACATCATCAACCATCTCCCCCAGGTACTGCTGATCATCCCAGTCAGGGCGACCAACTGATGTCACCATGTCCACTCCAATTGGTATCCTGAAATCTTAGGCATCAGATGGACCTACATTAACCTTGCTTCAGTGTTCAGATATCAAGGATAGCACATTTCAAGGTTTAGAAATATTCATCAGACATACCAACATCAAATTAAGGCATTTAGTTGTACATGTGTAACAGTATAAAGGAGGATTTCAGTGAGCGAGTTAGTTTTATGCTGCTTTTAGCAATATTATAGCAATATCACAGCTGGGGACACCAGAAATGGGCTTCACACATTGTACCCATGTGGGGAATCGAACCCGGGTCTTCGGCGTGACAAGTGACTGCATTAACCACTAGGATACCTTACCGCTCCAAATTAGGGTCTGAAATTAGTTATTTCCATAAATCTAAAAGCTTTTCATCCCTTTAAACTTCATGTTATGAAACTCAGTGTAACTACTGTAATCATAAGATTAGGAGTGATACACTGCAACCCTATTTATCAGGATGTCAGAATTTCTGAGTGAGTTCAGTTTTACTTCGCACTCAGCAATATTCCAGCTATTTGGTGGTGGTCTGTAAATAATCGAGTTTGGACCAGACAATCCAGCATGAACATCGATCTACGCAACTGGTATGCGATGACACGTGTTAACCAAGTCAGTGAGCCTGACCACCCGATCCTGTTAGTCACCTCTTACAGCAAGCATGGGTTACTGAAGATCAGTTCTAACCTGGATCTTCACGGGCAGAATTTCTGTTTCAAAATTTATGTGCAGTCACTATATAGTTGAAATTTGAAATGTCGAACAGACAGTTGTATTGAAGTGAAAGCTTGCTTCCAGTGTGTTCTTAATTAAGTCATCAGGACGCAGGTCCTTTCAGGTTTGACACAACAGGACTTGACTGTACAGTGAAACCTGCCAACACCGGCACTTGTCTAATCCGCACACTATCAAAACTGGCATAAAATTTTGGTCCCACCATTTTACAAGGATATTATGATGATTAAAACATTGTCTAATCTGGCACCTGTCTATTCCGTATTCCAGCACGACTTTCCTCTCCCAATAAGCAAATTTAACTGTAATTAACGTTGTCTAAACCAGCATGGGTATGAGCAGTCCAATCAAGGACCCATAATCCACTAATTAATCATCTTGGCACGCTAAATAATCAGGAAGTAGTGATTGTGCGGTGAATCAAACGCTCTAAGCCAGCATTGGTATGAGCAGTCCAATCAAGGACCCATAATCCAATACACTGCTCTCGGCACACTAGGTAAACAGGAAGTAATGATTGAGCGGTGAATCAAATAGTTGTAAATGGCAGCCATGTTGGAAAATGATCGTCACTGTCTAATCCGGCACCCTGTCTAAACCGGCATTTTATCTTGGTCCCATGGGGTACTGGTTTAGACAGGTTTCACTGTTTTAACACATTTCTGGACAAATGGGAGATACAAAGAAATATTCTTCCACATATGTACCAGCAGTTCTGCCCAGAAAAAGTCACCCAGAAATTATGGTTTCAGAATTAACATGGTCTGGCTCAATTTCACTGTATATCCCATACAATGTAAGATTTCTTTCAAGATATTCAGTGGTCTGTCAAGGTGGTTAAGTAGGGATAAAAGGAAAAGATGCTTAGCAGATGGGTAAAACATGATTATTCACAATGTAAAACATGTGGTATCTGTGACAGGCAATAACATTAACTTCACCTGAAGTTTCAGAAAATGAAGGAAACTTTTACAAAGTCAGCTTCTTTGCTAAAAAACTTACAATTAAAAGACAAATCAATCAATCAATGATAAAATAACCTAAGCCTACTGACTGAGGTATTTAAATGAAGATATGCACAGCTAAACTCAATTGACTTGATCAAGAATACAAAAGTAAATATAGTTGTTCATATAAAAATATGAAAATGAATATGTGGTAGCATATGTTATATCTGGGATTACACTTCTCTGTAAAGTACAGATTCCCATATTTTGGGGGTTGAGTTCCATCTCAGATTTGAACCATGTGAAATGGCATTGTCATTTTTTTTCAATTCTACATGCTACAACTTCTGTTCACCCTGTTTATGAGGTTCCACATAGCTATTTTACATCACCTGACTCGTTCACAAAGATGATTACTACTGATATATAGATATAACGAACTTTACAATTTGATTATATTCTCCGTGATTTGACACTGCTTGACCGCCAAAGTGAATATCTTTAGACAGATGCAACACACAACCAACCGCTAAATGTCAGTCCTTAAAGCTTGATCATGGAATAATGGCCCTAACAACGTTCCAACAACCGTAATTTACCTATGTCTTATAGGTTAACTTGTGGTTTGCTGTACACAGAAATATTTCAGCTATGTAATGGCAGTCTGTAAATAATTGGGACTAGGCCAGACAAACCATGAAGCATGACAATATCAGGGATGGCAACAGGAAAATCTATTTTCAGCTGAAAACTTAATATTGTGTCATCGAATGGGGATTAAGACGATTTACATGATTCACAGAATTGATCAATTTGAAATAAAATCTGCAGAAAATTGCCATCCATGCAATACATGGGCTGTTCAATAAGTAATGGCAACAAGAGTGTAAAACATACTGCATTAACATACAAAGTTGAGATTTTCACATTCCTTCAAAGTACTCCCCTCCTCTCTCTATGCATAATTTGAGGTGGTCAAGCCACTTATTAAAGGCATTACGGTAATCGTCTTTTGGTATGTCTCTGAGTTCTGAAATCACGGCTTTTGAAAGGTCTTGTATCCGTGAAAATTTCCTGCCAGTCAGTCGTTCTTTCAATATTGGGAAGAGCCAGAAGTCACACGGTGCTAGGTCGGGACTATAAGGAGGATGAGGCACAAGGGTCATTCCTTGGCTGTCTATATACTCCGTAACAGCCTTTGTCTTGTGGGGCCTCACATTGTCATGGCGGAGCAGGACACGACTTGTTCCCGCCTCAGGTTGCTTCTTTTCCATAGCTTCAACCATCTTGGGTAGGACAGTGTTGCAGTAGTAAGTGCCAGTAACAGTACTCTTCACAGGCAGGATACCAACAATTACAGTCCGTTAGAGTCAGAAACAGACCGATGAATTGCAAATTTTATCATTGTACAAAATTGCCACAGAAATATGAATAGTACACATGTTTATCATTTATTAATACCCAACAGCTTTCTTATATTTGAAAATTTTCCGGACTCCACCAAACAAGTTCTTTAAGAAACCATCATCACTGAAAATGCAAAAGTTGTTATCTGTCGCGGCTGGGTGAATCGGCAGAAACGGAACAGCCACTATCTCGTCATGCACTGGATACACATGCCTGATGAAAAATGAAGCTGAATACTGACGTGAAACAGTTGATTATTAAAGTGTACGATTTTTTCCGTGCTGACGCCGAAAGGGTCAAACCATTTTATGCCAGTAATAAATTCCGTAGGCGGGCAGCAAAAGCTTAGGAGTATCAGCAAGGGTACTGACAAATGTTCTGCAACACAAACATTGTGAAGGTGATGCGAGGCAGGTAGGGGTCGTGTCAAAATCATACAAATTAAAACATTGGACAACTTTCAAAAGAACCTTGTAAGGCAGTCTATCAACAAGCTCTATTCTGAAAACAAATACATGTCGCTGAAAGTTTTAAAAAAGCATTTGAAGCAAGAACACAACCTCAGAGTATCAAAGTACACATTCTGGCGACTCTTACACTCTTTCGGGTATCGTTATAAGAAAATTTCGGGGGAGAATAGGTCAGTACTCTGTGAACGCCCTGATATCGTTCGCTTGAGAAATAATTTTCTCAGGGTTATAAAGAAGAAGAGCGAGGAAGGGTTCGAGCCAGTGTACTTGGACGAGACCTGGGTCAATGCCTCGCACACTGCCAGCAGTCAGCGGGTACCCGAAGGGGGTGATAAGGGGTCACGTAGAAAGCTGCCTCTAGGGAAAGGAGAGACACTAAAGTACAGTCGGAAATGATAGAAAAATGCTTTTTGACTTATATTTAAAATTCAGAGGTATTACAGTTACTTAAATAACAAATATCACTTCAAGAAACATCTACCTAATGTAGACCGAGAGAATAAATTTTGAGACATACCCTAAAATGTGTTTTACTGATGAATATACCAAAAACTAAGAAAAATAAGGGGTAGTGGGACGTTATTTGATACAAACATTAATTGCCTGTGTTACGTCATCAGCATCCACGGTATCAACAGGTGAAATTGACACCTGAGCACGGGCGAGGGGTCATCTCAATAGATGTTTTCTGCAAAATGTTGAATATGTGTACGTATAGTATACGTATCGGTTATGTCAGGGATCATTTGTGTATGTGTGTTTGTTTTGAAATAAACATAAGAATTACTGTACATTGGAAAGAGTCCAATCACTTGTGTTATCTTACCGATTGATTGTAGAAATGTGCAACGTTTTAATAAATGTTTTGCATGTCAACAGTATATTTTATTGAAAACATATGGATGTAATTCGGTCAGTTTAATCTAGTTGTGAACATTGGCCAAAGATTTACTTGAAGTCACTGGTGTAGCTTCTTTAGAATATGTATATTTTTCTTCTCATAAAGTTTGTAGACCGCCCGTCTAAGCACTCCCTTGTCAAAGTTGTCAAGGATGGTTTTCACGTCCCGGTTTTGCATTTGAGGCGGTCCCTGTCTTGTCTGATTTGTTTACAATATTGTAAACTTGTTGGTAAGACATGCCAACAGCTCTACAAGTTCTGTAATAAAGCCTTTCTAAACTAATGAAAGGTTTACCTCTGTCTTTTAAGCAGAAAAAACTATAAACCTTTGCAACAATCGACTCCAAATCGTTGGCCATAGTGGACGCTGTGATAAAGATGTGCATGCATGACGGAAACTTAAGTATCAAGAGTTAACATTTATAATAATATTTCTTCAATAAAGAA